CACTCCCATTTTTATGATATCCGTAAATGTTATATTATAAAATTATTATTATTATTATGTTATTTTTTATTACCCGTGAATGTTAGCAACTGGACAAATCGAATGCAGCGGTCAAGGAAAAGCGAGCAGAATTGGTCAATCGTAAAGGTGTCATTTTCCAGCAGGACAATGCTAGACCGCACACGTCTTTGTTCACTCGGCAAAAATTAATGGATATTGGTTGGGAATTGATGTTACACCCACCATATAGCCCTGATCTCGCGCCATTGGATTACCACTTATTTCGATCCCTGGACAACTCCCTTCGTGGTAAAACTTTAAATGATGATGACGCTGTAAAATCTCGCTTAACTCAGTTTTTGGCCGAAAAGGATCAGTCTTTCTACGAGCGTGGAATTTTCAAGTTGTCAGAGAGATGGCAAAAGGTCATCGAACAAAATGGAAAATACATTACAGATTAAACTTCATTCGAAGTAAAAACAAAATTTTTTATTTCATTGAACAAATCGGCAATTACTTAGTTACTAACCCAATAGTTTTTACCGTAGTTTTTCTCCGAAAAGGCGACTTCCGTTCTCGGGAGGCTCAACAATATGGTTCCGCGATATCGCCAATAGGAATGGAAGCCCTCTATTGACACGCGACTAGATTTCATTTCTCGTCAAGGCGACAGGTACGCGTGTATCGAGAATCGGAGGACGCGCGACGGCGCCGAAGGCGTCTCCGTTTTATCGAGCGCGCACAGCCACCGCAGGAGAGCTTCAGACTCGTGATAAATATTCTGATTTGTAACCCTGACGTAACCAGGCCGAAGTGTCGACACGGTTGCTCGGAGATATTCGACGGCGGGCTTCTTTTTCTTTAGCGACACCCGTTTCCTCCTCCTTTTTTTTTCTTTCTTTTTTCAACGTGTTCCAAACGCAGCAGCCCCTTTAATTAAGTGGTTCGCAGCGGGCTAAAGGGACTCATTTGCAACGTACATACCAATTTGCCTTTTTACAATTTAGAATGCGCATGGACGAGGACGGATCGCGCGTGTACGTGTACGCGTGACAGAAATATTTTTATTCGTATCTCGAGGGGCGAAGAACGCGAATCGCAGCGGCGATTTATTTTTGCCGGAAAACGAACGCGTTTTAGTTCTTCTAAGGTCTGACATTTTTAAATGGGTTCGAATTAATTTATGTTAATTGAAATCGGTGATTGTAGCCTTTCGTAGATCTCGAAAATGATACTGAAAATTTTATCGAAATTGGTTTGACCTTGTTTCGAGTTAGAACAAATTAAAAATGGCAAAAATCGGTTTTGATCACAATTTTTACCGAATAATGTAACAAATCTGCAGTTTTTCTAATCTTTCAACGCCTGTAGCGCGATTTTGAGTTAATTTTGCACTTTGGAATTGTCCTAAGCTACGTTTAATTTCATTATTCATGTAAAAGCTCTTCATTTCGTTAATAGAAATTAGATTAATAGAATTAATCTTCGATCACATTTCAGTCCATAAATGAACGAGGTAAAAATACTAGATTTTGAGTTAATTTCGCACTTTGGAGTTGTCCTAAGCTTCGTATAATTTCATTATACATGTAAAAGCTCTCCCTTTAGTTAATAGAATTAATCTTCGATCACATTTTAGTCTACAAACGAACGAGGTAAAAATACCAGCTTCCCTAATATTAGTTATTTAATTTCAGATTTTAGGTTAGAGTACCTTTCCATAAATAATATTAGAAAAAGAAACGTTCTCTAAATTTATTAAGCAAACGATTAATAGAATTAATCTTCGATCACATTTTAGTCCACAAATGAACGAGGTAAAAATACCAGCTCCCCTAATATTAGTTATTTAATTTCAGATTTTAGGTTAGAGTACCTTCCCATAAATAATATTAGAAAAAGGAACGTTCTCTAAATTTATGAAGCAGACGACAAGTTTCTTTCTTCACATTTACTCGAAATTATATCAGTCT